TGGCTGCCTGGGAGACACATGGCGGCCCCCGTCATCAGTGCTATGAGGATCCTTGTTTTGACATTACTTAATGAAATGGATCTGGACAACCACAGCCCAGGTTGCTGCTGGCTGGTGCCATAGGATAGGCGTATTATACACGTCGCCGGAAAGTTCATATCACATCATCGACACGATGGCAAAGCTTTGGCTGCGTTAGTCACGACGTGTGTTTTCTAAGCCGTGCGTTGTGTTTTTGGGAAGTGAGACGGGCGAAATGGCGGTATCCCACATCAACCACACTTAGTGACTGCGATAATCATCCCCGTCTTCAGTATTTCCCATCACTTTGCCATCACTTTACCATCACTTGCTTTTTGGCACACTTTATATGTCGTTTTGTACCCGGGGAAATGTCAAAAGTTCAGCCTGATCATTGCGCTGGACGAGGTCAATGTAAGGCCAAAGTCTGGAAATTAGAGATGTGGTTAAATTTGACGCACATGACAGAAACGTCAGCTCTGTATCATGTGTGTGTTTTTACTGGCTTTGTTTAATATCTAAGCGTTCTGTTATATCATAACTTGTAGCGGGACGGCTTTCAGTGAGCACTCCAGCAGTGAGCACTCCAGCACTCCAGCATGAGCGACAGGGCCCGTATTTTCTGCAGTATTGCGACTAATACACATTTGCGATACGCTTGATAGCTTTCGATTCTCGAGACTCCGTTGAAACAATACTGTTCAGTAGCTGTATGGATGAACTGAAATAAGAGACCGAACATCAAATCAACGCATAAAAGTGAAAAATAATTGTTTCAGCTAAGTTATATCATCTGACGAAGCCAATGTTAATGAACTCACCTACAATGAAATTTATAATCGCGGACAATATCCCGACAATATTCACGGAAATTCTTGGGCGTGGTACCCCAAGTGAGGAAGCATGGTCGGGGAACATGGCATCCCGAGGACAATGATATCCCGAAATGAGCCGAAAGTGTTACATCAGGCACTAGGAGATTTCGCAGGTGTCTGATCTAAATTTTTAGGATTCCGCATGAAACTCGATATTTAGCGTGAGCAAGATTTGGAGGAAAAGGAACCATGAAGAAGATTTTGACTACCTGTCCCAAGAAGCGATAATTACTGAAAATTTAGTGTGCATTGCCTCTTTTCACTTTCAATGTGTACTAAACAATTTTTAAAAGGTCACAAATGTCCCCCACAGTCGGGTTCTGCTGCTTAATCCATACTTAGCATTTAAGCATGTAACTTAAAATGCATTCCATGTTTGATGGTGCAAGTGCGGTTTATGATGATGAAGGTGAAATGGTAATGGATCATGACGATGATTAAATGAGTTGTTTTGGGTTTGTTTCGTTGTAACGTCTCACCCATGTGGTCTGAAATGACCGCTTTCATTCATTTTCTTCCTGCTTTCGAGCTCATCACAATCTCACTCCTGGTCGCGTATAAACTGCGTGTCCCAACCCTTCGGACACGTACAGGGGCAGCTTCACCGGAGGGACAAGGGGTAACAGTCCTCCATTCATTTCACGAGGCGGCAAACAAGCCCCCTCCCTCCACGTCCGTTCAATGCAAGATGAGACACAACGCAGGGAAAGCTATCCCCGAAGTCGTCAAACTTGATCGTCTTTACACAGCCCTGCCCGCCAGCTCAGTCGCAGTCCAGCGCGGTTCCAACGTGCGACGGGGGCTGAAAACTTGCGTCGCTTAATGGTGACACTGAGGAGGGTTAACACAGCAGCAGTGTGTCACATACATCACATTCGCCTGCATCTAACGGGTCCCGCTCATGTTACAGTCACCTTTTTCCCGTCAACATACATCGAGTGAGAGGACGTTACAAACGGTGTAGATGCAGATCTCAAATGAGCAAGTAAATTTTGCAATCCTCAAGTGGCATGCCGTTTGGATGGATTTATTGCCACCATGATACAGAGCCAGATTTACCTTGCGATTATCTTTTCATAGTGAAAGCTTCAAAGTAAAAGCTTTTGGGGTCGGACATAGAACCATATCGTAACTGCAGGGTAATTATCCATGAAATGTCACCCTGTGAAACTTTTGCCACTGCACATACGCACGTTTATACACTGATACATCATCTGGCCAGTTGGTCTAGATGCTAACGTGCACTGTGCTGACCGCTGAGAAGAAGCTACGAAACTGCGACAAAATTTTCCACCGGTAGCGGCGACGAATGTCCTTCCGCATTGGGACGGAAAGAGATGGCAGTGCTTCGGATTATTTCTTTCCAGCCAACACTCACCGAGGCAACGCTAAACTTTCGGAAACTGTGGATCTCAGTCCCTGCTCCTGTGCCCGGTTCCTGCGTACCCATGTCTTACGGTGTGCAGCACAAGACACGCGAGAAACTGTGGATCTCAGTCCCTGCTCCTGTGCCCGGTTCCCGCGCCCCCATGTCTTACGGTGGTGCAGCACAAGACACGTCAGCCCCTGCTCCTGTGCCCAGTGCCCGCGTGCCCATGTCTTACGGTGGTGCAGCACAAGACACGCGAGAACTCCGCATGGAAATGATCGCGTAAGAGAACATCAGCTATCAGACGCATTGTTTCCCACCCTCGCGTTGTGCCTCACGTCAGGGAACGTTTGGCTACGCTTAGGACCGCACCATAAACGGTGTTAGTGCAGACCTGGAATGATATGTGAATTATGTGATCCCCAAGTGGGGTGAGGCTTGGGTGACTTTATCGGCACCATAATGCATAGCCAGATTTACATTGTGATTAGTTTTCATACGCAAAGTAAAAGCTTTTGGAGTCGGGCATCAAGCCACATCATAGCCGCGGGGTAAATATGCAGGAAATATCACCCCGTGAAGCTTTTGTCACCGTACATACATACGTTTATACACTGGTACACCATCTGGCCTACTGGTCTAGATGCTAACATACCCTGTGCTGGTCCCTAAGAAGCTGCGAAGCTGCGATAAGAATTTCCACCGCCAGCGACAACGGACGTCATCCCACACTGTGATGATGATGGTGTTCTGGATTACTTCTTTCCAGACGACACCTACATCGAATACGCTAAATTTTCGGAAAGCTGTGTGTTACAACCCTTTCCCCTCCCCAATTCCCGCGCCCCATGCCTTACGGTAATGCAGCACAAGACATCCGAAGAATTCGCATCAGAATGATCGCGTGGGAGAACACCAGTTATCAAACACATTATTTCCCACCCATTTTTTGTATTCATTGTCATAGTAAACAAGCCCGTCTCCTAAACAGGCTACCAAAAACCAGCGACACCGTGCGCGGCAGTTGTATGCCCGACGGCGCTGCCAGCATGGCACTCACCATTCAATGCTGGCACTGCACTGTTTCCACTGGTTTGCAGTCGCAGTCTGCACCGCGTACATGATTACAGCCCCGACTGTCCAGACCAACGTTATGGTTAGCACCACAATGTTGCTGACAGCAGCGCTGTGATGCAAGCCCACAAATCCCAGCACGGCCGAACTTCACTTGAAGAGTTCATGACATTAAATTATGAAGTGGATACGGATGCACAGATAGCGGCTGAGGATAAACTCTAAGCAAATACGAACCGCCCGCTCTCCGTCGCCAGACCACCGTCTCCTTATTGCGACAATCGGGGAGATACAGAGGCATCAAAAGAACTTATCTCGAATCAGAACGACCGATTCGACAAGGTTGTCGGAACGCATGTAAGTGAGCTGTCAATACAACCGAGTAGTCGCGGCCTTATGCGAGAGTTCAGAACATCTACGTAGTGTCATCGCCTAAACTTGGCCTGCCGTGTTTGAAATGCACAGCCCAGGGAAAGAAAACACCCTGCAAGCTCTTATCGGTGTGGCAAGTCGATAAGCCAGCTGTTTGCCAGGCGTATCAGGGCTGGCACCCATGTCACCCCGAGCGCGTTAGTCACCTTAACGCACGGCTTGGCTCCCTGTCAAGGTCGAACAATGGCGTGTCAGAACCCCTCCCCTCCGGCGACTAGTGCGTGTTCCAAAGATCACTTTCAAACTGCCAGTTTAAGCTTATGCAAGGTGCGGTGGTTGTTCAGAATTTCGCAAATGAAAATAAATGAATTGAGATGACAATGGACGAAAATGAAAGAATTTAAATGGACATGAATTGAAAATGGCAGATTGAAATGCAAGTGAAACGGATGAATGGAAATGCATGAAATACAATGGCGCACAACTGAAAGAAAATGAAGTATCCAGCTGTTATTTGAACCTACAGGCATATCATCCTGCAGCATAGCTGAAGGTGTTGGCGGTTGGACCAAACATGCCACGGCACGTGCAACGACCAATCTCAAACGTGATGTACTACGCTCGCAGGCCTCCCATGCCAGCAGATTCTACTCTCGATAGCATTAACATACATGCACACTGCCGTAGCATGAATGCATACATGGCATTAGCGTTCCATGCTGACGTTCAATAGCAATGCCTACGCCTACTATAGACGCCGCACATCTCTCGATGAAGCAGTCACGCTAATGACAGGCAGCGACGCACGTGCTCGATGTGGGACAATGTAGGACTCAGCAACATTCTAAAAAACTCGAATTCCAAAAAACATGTTTGTTTGGTACAGTTTGGATGACCCGGCATACATGGAACCTTACGAATTTTGTGCTTGAGGTTGTTCAGGCCTGACTCAATTCGCATAGGGCGCAGACTAAGACGGCATAACGCTAAATAAGTAGAACGTAAAGACCGAGCCCGACGATAGAAATATAGCATGTGTGAATTAAGATGTGCCACAACTTACCACATTCATAACTCAAAACAAAATTTGGTAAGCCCAAACCTGCTGATGTCAACCAGTGCTTGGGTGTTCGCGTCGCTGGGAGAACCCGTTGCCATGGCATCGAACAGGAGAAAGGTACTGAGGTCGTGAGGTCGCTAAAAAACGCACTTCATCCGCTCTCGTACGTCATCAATCATGAGACTTGCTCACAACTGCATGTTCACAGTCCATCAACCACACACGCAGACCAGGGTTGTACAATGTCTGTATTTAACCACACCTAAACGCTTCGACACATGTTCCGACCGAACCCACTTCGAATGAGCGCGTGGGCCGGAGCACCAGCACCAGCCTCGAGCACGGTCCAGGTCTCGGCCGGCAGATCATCCGCAGGTCACCGCAGGCGGGCGTGGGGCCACCGGGTCACGACCCTCCGCACCTCAGTCCGACGCCGTCCCGTCACGTCGCACGCCGTCCAGTCACGCCTCACGCCATCGGCGCGGCGTCACGCGTCACGCGTCGCGCCATGCCGGGACTTCAGGTGGCGTCGGCCCGCGCCAGTGCTCCGCGCTCCTTGGTGTGGCATCAGCAGCGAGTCCAGCCGATCCCGCCGCCGCGGCGCTCAGTCGGCGGTGGGCAGCAGGTGCTTGTGCACCATCTCCTCCTTGTTGATGAGGTGGGTGGTCTTCGTGACGAGCAGCATGAGGGACGAGATGCCCGACGACCACTCGGTCAGGATGTCCGTGGGGTCCTTCGTCTGCAGCACGGGCATGGGCAGGGCGTCAAGACACAGCTCGCGTATGATAGCAACCAGTCGCGCAGGGACTGCTGATGTGCGCGATTGTATTCACAACAGAGGTACTTCGTAATGTCCGCATTAGGGGAGTATGAAACGCGTATATTGGGTGAAGTGCATTTTAATGTAAATTTATGTGCATTATGATTCAAGACTCCTCACCGTGCCTGCATACCCATTCGCCGTGCTTCACGGCGTTACCGCGAGGAAATGACAAATACCTCTCCAAACCACCCTGCACTGGACACTTCGTATGACACAGGCACTGGGATATGCATCAAATATCCACAGCACGAGCTGCCTGCAAAGTCGCTTCCATCAGCCGCCCGACCGGCCGCTCATGGCCAGCTCCCAACACCGACACTGAAATCCCGACCAGCCCCGGCACAGGAGGGCTTCCCGCGTCACATTCCGACTCCAGTCCGCCGGACGCGCGGCGGCGGACATGCGCCGTCACTGCGTCACTGCATGGGAAGCCGTGACGTGACGCTGCCGCGGCGGGCCGATAACGGCGCAGAGCTCCGATAGTCGGACCGTGATAGCCAGAAGACTGCGCGCACAGGGCGGGTGGAAAGGCCGGAGCCGGTCGGGGCGTGGCAGGGGAATCTGGACAGTCAGGCGCTGACTACGCCCTGAGAACGGCGGGCGCATCCGCACATGTGATGCACGGCAGGACTGGGGGCCGCAGGTCAGGGGCCGCAGGACAGGGGCAACGGGACTGGGGGCCGCGGGACAGGGACAACGGGACGAAGGTTCGCAGGTCAGGGGCCGCAGGACAGAGGCAACAGGAATGGGGGCCGCCAGGTCAGGAGGCGAACCAGGCCGGGCCGGTCGTGAGCCGTATGGCCCTGGAAGATTTCCCGCAGGCGCCCGACTTAGGGCGCCGCTAACGAAATGGCCCGTTCAACCGAGTCCGAGACACTGATTGTTCAATGTTGTGAAATTTGCATCGCCTTCCACTTCCACACGCGATGAATAACAGCAGAATGGGAGTCGCGTTCGGCAGAGATGCCGGCCCCGGGCTAGAGGTCAGTCAGCTGATGTCGACTGCGCAGCCAGCTGTTCATATAATGCGGATTGATGGGATGGTAGACTGAAGACTGTGACCAGGCCAAATTTAGAAGTGACAATGACAGTCTTGAACTTCGTGAGTGACAGCGGGTGAAGTGACCACGCGGCAAAGCGTGCCAGTCCACGAGCACAGCACGCCCTCGTGGTGCAAGTGCTCTTCTGTAACTATAACCGTCCTGCTGACTGGCAGGTCACGACACGTCGAGTCACACCAGCTTCACTGCCACCTCGACGCTGCTCCTGGCCACTCTCTGCTGCTCCGGACAGAACTCGCGCCAGGCCGCCCTCCGCACAGTCCGCCCAGGCTTGCTCTGTCGCCTTGACATGGCGAATGACCCTACTGAGAGGCGCATCAGCCTTGAGCGTACCTCCCTCACTTCCAATGCAGCCTTAATAACACCGACGACACATACAGGGCGGCCGTCCTTATATCCGCTGAGGAGAAAATTCGGGCCAATGTGAACACGCTGAGGCCGGACACTCCTGCACCGTCGCTTCCCGCACCTCCCACGGCGCGGTGGCGGTTACCTGAGGACCCCGGCCACCTGAGGGACCAGGCCACCTGAGGAACCTGGCCTTCTAGAGACCCCGGCCGCCTGAGGAACCCGGCCACCTGAGGACCCAGGCCACATGAGGAACCCATCCACCTGAGGAATTCAGCAACCTGAGGACTTCGACCGCCTGAGGAGAACCCGGCCATCTAGAGGCCCCGGCCACCTGATGAACCCGGTCATCTGGAGACCCCGGTCACCTGATGAACCCGGTCATCTGGAGACCCCGGCCATCTGAGGACCCCGGCCACCTGATGGCCGGACTGACGACTGACCTTGATGAAGGAGACGATGCCCTCCAGCCGGTCGGTCTTGGCCTGGACGGCGCCGCTCACCACCATCTGCGAGAGGAACTCCTCGGCCTCGGCCTCCGAGAGCTCCAACAGCTGCGCCATCCGCGAGAGACGCACGCGCCGGTAGTACCGCGACATCACGTCAATGTTCTGCGGCCGGGGGGGGGGGGGGGGGCACAGGTCAGGCGGTACCGCGGTATCACGTCAATGTTCTGCGGCCGGGGGGGGGGGGAGGGGCACAGGTCAGGCGGTACCGCGGTGTCACGTCGATGTTATGAGGCCGGAGACGAAGAGTCAGCCCAAGGAACACTGAGCTGTGGCGATGATGAGGATAACACTGGGATTTGGAGCGATGCAAACACTTGAGCACACAGACTACGCTATATTGTGAGATACGGGGCGCCACGCTCCTTTGGAGATCTCAGAGAAGTTCGCGGTGCACAGTGGCTCTGACCAATTCTGAGCAATTCGATATTTCCATCGGCCTTCGGGTCTGAAAATCCCCCCACTGCAGCCACTCTTATACATGCAGTGCCACACACATGTTCGGCATCACATTCAGCCGCGGAACACGGACCAGGAATACACATCCGCATGCGAGTAGCATAGTCAGGGGCATCTTACAGATGCATCTCCGACACAGAACACCCCAGCCTTCGCCTCCCAGCACCCTCACGCCCCCTCCCAAAGGCTGCCACCCCCCCCCCTCGATCCCAGCCGTCTCACATGCTCGACGCAGCGTTTCTTGAGCTGCTCCCAGCGCTGGTTGCCGGCCTCGGTGTCGGCGAACACGTCGGTGGCCGGGGCGTCTGGCGCGCCGCGCCGCAGCGGCGCCTCGTACATCTGCACCAGCGCCGCCCACCGGATCAGCTCCGCGTTCGTGAACAGCTCCACGAACGACCTGCCGGGACGGCCGGGCGTGAGCGGGGCGCCAGCGCCGCCGCGAGGGGGCGGGCGACGGCGGCGCTTCGGGCTGGCGTCTGAACGCACGCACGGCTGCAGGCAGCCGGCGCTCGCAAACAGCTCTGCAAAAGGCCTGCGCGACGGGCCGCCAGTGGAGAGTGCAGCATGGCCCGGCAGGGGGCGCTGGGGTCTGATGGCAAGCTTTCAAATGGTCTGCAAACAGGGCGTCTGTGATGTTGGCGCTAGCGGGCGACACGACGGCCCGATGCCATCAAATCATTACGGCAGGCTATCGGTGAACACAGCCATGAACACAAAGTGTGCGAGTGAATGCACGTATGTCGAAAAGGGAAGACATTCGACACTGTTCGACATTCTCAAGCTACAGAGTAGGTGAACTCGTTGATGTGCTCCGATCCTCCAGATAACGCAGCCTAAATGCCGGTCCGAGAGCAGGCCGCTGTCGCGTTCATGAGCGCCACACGCAGCTCTCACCTGTACGTGGGGATGCCGGTCCGAGAGCAGGCCGCTGTCGCGTTCATGAGCGCCACACGCAGCTCTCACCTGTACGTGGGGATGAGCTCGAGCGTCTTGTCCTGCAGAAGCCGGTGGGTGAGGTCCGACTGCTCGTTGTCGTAGGAGGCCAGCACCAGGTACAGCACCACGTGCCGCAGTGCCGTCGTCTTCCTCGCCTCGTCAGCTGTCGCACGGGGGCAGACGGTCACAGAGGTGGGGGCAAGAGAGCAGACGCGTCCAGTGACGCACCTCAGATGCTTGATGCCGAGTATCCAGCCCGAACACATGCTTCGAGTCGCGTTGGGCCTAAATGCACCGCATTGTTTTGACTTTGCCTCCTTCTCAAGTATCTTCGGAAACACACCACGTCGCAGTTTGGAGTACAAGACGGCGGAATGGTCTGCAACCTGGGGACCCAACTCATAATATCCCTGTTCGAGTTTCAGACAATGGGACTGACTGATCGCGACATACCCACTCATCTGGCCCATAAAAGGCCAGGCAAATCTCGGAGATGACCGATATGCAGCAAATCCAAGACAGTACGGTCCCACGACTGACTCATCTTTTTCAGGGGGGGGGGGGGGGGAAGCTGTAGTAAATGCAAGGGTCAAGCTTCGCCCATGCACTCAGTCTGACTCCGCTCGACTGTGATCAGCAGGACACCCCCACGTACGCCCTCGCACTCACCTTGTACGGAGGGCGTGTTGTAGATCGCCATGTAGTGTTTGCAGATGGCTATGCTGGTTCCAATATTCTGATCCAGCTCTATCATTGAACTGTAAGGCAAGCGTGCTGACGTCAGCCTCACGTGACCGACAGTTCGGCACGTACACAACAGCGAACAGCTAACGACTGGTGGTGACACCTACCAGCCGGCGGTGGAAGTGCCAGGCCCACCGATCGGTAGGTGGCGTTACCATGGCAACTCCGCAGTCGCCTGTCTCAGGAGATATGATGCTTTTAGACAGGACACGCCGTTTCGTGACACATAGAAGCGCGCAAAAACGATGTAATGATGAGTAAATAGAGTCCGCATAACTAGTGCTACCTGCCCACGTTAACGCAACCTTTAAGTCGGTATAGTCATCTCCACTGGCCCAGTGCGGATCAAAATTGACAAAGCCTTTGAGCTCCAAGCCGTACGGTAACAATATACATACTATATAGCGCCTACACATCGTCACCGTGGAATATCGCGGTATTTGTGACAAAACAAGGACGAATGCTCACTTATAATACTTCATTTTCAATTCATGTGTGTCTGGAGCTTCAAAGAACTTGATATTTATTTTCTTGGCAATGATCTGGGTGCGAATGTAGTCCTTTTTCAGCAGACATAACCGCATCTGTTCCAGAATCAGGGTAACCTGCGGACGAAAGCATTCGTTAGCACATCTCGACCAGTGGGCCACCCCTCACAAGAATACAAGACACCACACATCCCCAATCAACCGATCAAAGACCCACGGCTCTAGCACCTTTCGTCCGCCGGCAAGACACATGGCTTCGAGACTCGCCACTTGACTTGGCCTGCTCTACCGCTCCCACACTCCCCTATCGCTTAGACTTTAAGCCCCGACAGGTTTTCATCTGCTATATGTTCAACGGCTCGCGATCAATCTTTTCACCTTTCTCTCGCTCCAACTCTTTCCCCTTTTCCACTTTTTCTCCCTCATTTTTTTCCACTTTTACCCACTCCCCCCACTGACCTTCTCAGTCTTCTCCATGCTGCCGTACGTCTCGACCTGCATGTCCTGCAGGATGTCGGCGGCGCCTACAATGTCGCCGTCGGCCTCCTTCATCATGGCCAGCTTGTGCGTCAGGCGAGCGCGCTCAATCTCCACGTATATCTGCGGCCACAGAGCGGGGCAGTGACGCGCGCCGTTCGCCGGCCGCGGGGTGATTGTGCGGCCGCTGCGCACCGTCACAGAACAAGATATTATAGTTTGCGATTGCTAACCAAGTCGTGATGTGTGTCGATGAAGACACGGCACGACATGGCACGCAATTTTCGAAAAGCATGCTGTTCAGTCTCGCTGAATGACCGTTGATATTGAGCGTGGCCTTGTAAGAGACTCGCACGCTTCACCAGTAAAATATTTATAGAAGGGTTTTAACATGAGCCCATACCCGCGCAACAACGATTTGTGTTCGTTTGGGCAGCAGACAAGCATAGCGTCCGTTTGGACCACAAGCAAGCACATGACGTCTCCTAAGTAACAAGGATGTTAGCTGAGTAGCAGCCTATGTTGCCAGGAATTAGTGCACGCAGCATGTTACACACGACTAGCATAGTGGTACACATGGCTCCTTAGTTGCAAAAATACCTATACCCCTCGAACGTCAGCCCACGTTAATCAACTGCGAGCCAGGCAGCTTAGTGCTCCCTCAGCAATGACTGATCTCATACTGCACTGACTCATCCAAACTGCTGAACAGCGCAGTCAAACGAGATCACACTAGGGTCACTGACCTTCCCCTCTGTCACCGTGCGCAGCGTGTCGATCAGCTTGAGCTTCTGCTCCTTGTCCGTCAGCTTGTCCACGTAGGTGCAGGCTTCCTGCAGTCATCCGGAAAGGGTCGGTCAGGGCGCCGTGGGGCTCGTGTGAGAGGCGGCGCGGCGCCGCGTCAACTGGCTGGCGACGCCGGCTCGCACGCGGAGGTGACGTCACACGAGCCCGGCAGCAAGCGTCCCGACTCCTGCCGTCCTCCCCCCCCTCCCCTCCCCAATACGTATATCTGCCAAGGCTCTCATCACGGTGTCGCAATAGCCGCCGCCGTGATAAGCATGTCAAGGTGGACACCATACCATCATGGTCACCACCTCTGTCATCCCCATTATCCCCTATCATCATATAAAAGTGAATCACTATCCACTCCACCATCACGCTACATCGTCACCACACCGCCGCATGGCTCACCACGACCATTAACCCGCCGACGCCCAGCACCGCCTCACCCCCCCCCCCCCCCCTCTCCCCACTACGAACCTGCACCATCTTGGCGACGCTCTGCTTGAGCTGGCTGCGCCGCTTGGTGAGTGTGATGATGCTCTCGTTGAGCTGCTGCAGGTCGCCGGCCTCGAAGCACACCTGCACGATGGCCACCAGCACGCGGCTGGTGGAGTGCATGTCGGCGCCCTGCGGCACGAGCGGCCGTCAGCGGCGCCTCGGGTCACGAACGCGGGCGGGGGTCCCCCCGGGCGTGGGAGGGCCGCGGTGCCGACCCAGCGCTCATCGGCGCCCAGCGCTCGTCGGCGCCCGGCAACCCGTCAAGATCAGCTGGGTGGTGGGGTGCGGAGTGAGGCTGACTTTGAAAGCAAAGAGATCCCATGTGGCTGGTTTTCCCAATGCCCGCCAACAAGCATTTGTGCACGTTGGCAGCCCGCGGCTGGAAGGCAGTCAAAGTTATCTTATCTGACTCAGGGTTTTACCACATCTGGAGAGCATTTCAAGAACAAATACCTCTGAAGAAATAAAGGGCTGCCATATTTACCCAGGCTCTCACAGATGCTACATCACCCTTCAGAAAAAATGCAATGCAACTAATATGGATGACAGTTGTCAGCACCACCACAGTGTTGCCATCACTACCTGCCTGTTCATTTCGCATTCAACAAATTAAGTTCATTTGATATTTTGAAAAATTCAGAGTCCTGCAGAACCCTAGTAAGTAGTCTAAATGTAGCGGCACCTAGGATAAAAATAATGCAACCATATTTATCAACCACATCATGTTTTCTCTTCACCCCTATCAGCCAAAAGCAACTCCAGGCCGCCGCCCCACGACGAGGCGGGCGCGTGGCGCACAAGCTGCTCACGTACGTGCTCGCGCAGAAAACACAGCTCACACGCACCGCCTAGCGCGTCGTAGCATCTATACGCGAGATGTGACTGACAGCGCACATCGACATGTCGGCGATGGTCAACGTGCAGGGGTGATGGCCAAGCACGCCGTAGTGACCACCCAGCACGCCGGAACGACCGCCCAGCGCGCCAGAACGACCGCCCATCGCGCCATAGTGACCACCCAGCGCGCCGGAACGACCGCCCAGCGCGCCGGAACGACCGCCCATCGCGCCGGAGTGGCAGCCCAGTGTGCGCACCTGCCTGCCAGGCGCTGCTCACCGTGCGCGTCTGCTTCTCCAGTGCCAGCAGTCCATTGATGGCGTCCTGCAGTCGGCCATCGGCAGCCATCTTCTTGAATAGTGGGATCTTCTCGTCGCACGACGAGCTGTAGTCCACCTCCATTTTGACCAGGTGGCCGCCGTCGGTGGCTGCGCTCAGCATGTCCGCCATCTTTGCGAGAGCTCTGCATGGGGGCAGACAAGAAGAATGGTAAGTTGTGACACATAAGAGAATAGCAGGTGGGATTGTGGCATGAACATTTATGTCCATGTCAGGTGTACTAAATATGGAAGCTGATGGGATGGGTAATAAGTCCAGCTATCATTTAAGGGGCTAACAATCAGGGGCAATGCATGCACAGTCAGAATACTTTTATCCTCCATCATGCATCAAAAGCTGCATGGAACTTGCAATGTTAAAACATTGCTATCTAATTATAGTATAGCTTCATTATGAAATGAGGCTTTCATTGATAATGTTTATTCTGTTTAACCTAATTCCAATTTCTTAAATTTGTCTGTCAAGACTGAGCCAAAAATGATGTGCAAAAGTGAATCAAGTCAACATGAAATATCCCACTTGTGCGCATTGACATTGCTTTGGGGTATCCCTTCTATTGCAGTATCTATTATATGCCAGGCCACCTGTGGGGAAATAAAACATGTCATCATGCAGTAAGCCCACATGTTCAAACAACACATTTCCAGCAAGGACCTGTTCCGACAGCCCACCGGGCGCATATCACTTGTGGCACATCCCATAAGTGTGCTCCTTCCATGGGCAAAAATACACCTCATGCCTACATATCCTGATTATGAGGAATATTTTTCCTAGACATGTCCATTATGGTAGTGACATCCCTGCAACAATTTCAGTACCTGCACACTGTACACCCAAGAACAATGAATTTGATGCATGGTCCTGAGCAATTTCAACAAATACATGTCAACTGTTTTGAGGAACAAGCTGTCGCTAACGTAATTTCAGCGAAAACACTCCTTCAGACAAAAAAGTCCAAACATATTTTGTGGGTGTACACAGCAGGGGATGGATCTAGCAGCCTGGACCACAACCAGACTGAGAATGCCACCAACATGAAGCTACCAAACATGGGCGTCATATTACTGGTAATGGAGACCACTCAAGGCAAACAGCGTAGGTGCATATTGCATCTTTACATAACCATGCTAATTGCAGAACCTCTCCATAATTATATTGGTGCAAAACCAGCCTGCAAGAAACATCCACTACACCATAAGATTACACAATATAAATGAGCTCAACTTCATGCCCCTGCACACCGAACTCAGGCCAGACACCATTGCTCTGATTGACATTTTGATATGAAAAGTATTCAAATGGCATGTTTGCATTCACTTAACTTTACAAAAACACGACACCTTGGACCACGGGCTCCATACACTAAAATTTGCGGCTGCCGTGTGGCGAAATCTGAGCGTTTACATCTCAGGGACACATGCTCTGATAGCCGTGACATCGCTACGCCAGATGTTTCGCCCGTTCATCGGAAATTCAATGTCACATACCTGTGATACGCCAACACCTCAAATCGATGATCACGAATGGGGCCGCGACGAAACCAAGATAGTACAAGGACGGCACTTCAGACGCGCGGGCCTACGCATCCGCGCTGCAGCGCATTGAATGTGTGGACGTTACAGGTAGGCGGTTTTTGACCAAGTCATGCGCCGAATATGCCTCACGGCTGCCGGGATTTGGTAGCATTCATCTACAATATCTGAAGTATTTTTTCTTAACTACATGTTCCATAATTTGTCCACGCGACCGGAGATGCTTTCGAATTTAATGCTGAGATGCTTTCGAATTAAATTCACTCCAGAGAAGTACGCTGTAGATCGAATCCACCCGTTCAAAACCCGTTTCGCAAGACGAGGCGCGTGACTTGCACACTAGCAAGCAAGCTCTAACAAGCTGCACTCATTTTAGTGAAATCTCAGAGCCAGGTAGTCTAAAAAAGATTGGTTGGTGTCACTCCAGCACCGTCAAGACACCATAAGGATATCAACTTTAATGATTTTCGAGCATAAATTATCCCGTCAACGCTGTGTAACAGCACAATGCTTCCTACTCGCGGTCGCGACCGTCGTTGTCATGACATCCGCCGTGGGATCTCTACTGGTGCGAACAAAAAAGGTTGTGATTGGCCAAACGAGCAGCAAGGTCCTATTACCGAGAAGAACATTGGTTGGGGTGGTTGCGGCATTTTAGGCGGAACCAAATTCGTAAGCCTGAAACTGCCAAAAAAAGTGTGACAAAAGCCATAAAACTGGATTTTTTCTTTGAAAACCAAGCCACAGAATGAAGGCCCTCCTGTCATATATTCCTTGTCTGAACCTTGCTCCCGTCCACCGTCGGTGGCCACTGTCCTGGCGCTGCCGCCTCCGAGTAATTGACCGCGAACTGATGGTGTGGCTGCTTAGTTGCACATTTCGGGATCAACATTGCTACTAATTGGGATGTAAAACATGTGTCGGACACTCGCAACAGCGCCTTTTCCGAATTATCTTCCTTTGCACCACACCACGCCAGAAAACAATGCGGCCGGAAAGCCGCACACTCTCAGCATGAATTGGCCCAACGGGCATTTAATTACCCGTCATTCAACGTAGATGACTTGATCTGCTTTGTGTATCTGCAGGGTGTATCTGCCAGAGTTTTGCTAAGAGGAACAGAATTGACAAAAGCCCCCTTTGTGGTAACCCCCCCCCCCCGCCACAAAAATATCCCCGGATATAGTTTGCTCGTTAACAAGGAATGTGGTTTTCTTGGTTTCATTGCTATTTTTACGTTGTAACGAGGACAGAATCCAGAAGCTACCGTGAAACCAGTTCTGTATACATTTTTAACACGCGCACTGGTGGCCGGCTGGATGCCCTTTGCTCGGACGGGGGGTCAGTTTGACCCCCGCTGAGATCTCGAGAACTATGAGAGCTAAAGACACCAAATTCACAGGGTGTATTGACCTGTACGTGAACTCACTTAGGTCAAAGTTTGAGGTTACTAGGTTATGACTTTTGAGTGAAATAAGGTCAAACAATGCCCAATTCCAGGATTGTCTCCAAAGTGCCCCCAAAACCTAGATAACTGTTTCTAAGCAAAAGGTCGCAAGTTCAGGTTAAAGTCATTGACGTTTCACCTTTTGAACCTCATGGCGACCAAAATCATACAAGACTGCTCTGAGTTTTGCCGTTGAATAAGGTAGGAAGATTATGCTAGGCAGTATTCTTCTAAAAAAAAAATGTTGACCTAGGTCATTTAAGCTCAATGACCTATTCTGACCTCTAAGAAGTCCATGAAGATGCATAACGCAGTTTCTGCTATCATTACATTCGAAATGAGGACCAGAAACTATCACCTACAGCAAGCCCCAGAGTAATAAAGCAGGCTTGTGTTGAGCTTGGTCTGACATTTATATTTGACCTTAGGTCAACGTGATTTGCTCATTCAATACCTGTGTTTCCTAAGAAAGCATCTCAGAGACGTATGGCTTCGTCTAACACTCCATTGTTGCATCAGATTGAACAACTCCTTAGAAGTTGACTTTGCTGAAACTATGGTCTGACTTTAATGTACCATAGGTCAACGACCTTACAAAGTGCATTAAAATTTTTGATGCCTAGCGATCCGCTATTCAATTGTGTACAGCCATTCAAGACATGGTGCGGCTGCGCCACGTCGTTCGGAAGCCAATCTGAACAAATCTTTGCGGGGTGAGTCAGTTTAACCCCCACCCGAGCGTGTGCTACGGTAAAAAAAACAACTGTAGAAATCGGGCGTTTAACGACCGCCTGGAATAAATCACCGGTATCCTTAATTTGCAATGGCTTAGTGGACTTTTTCTAAACCGACAGAATTCAGAAGCTTTTCATAACTTTTTATCTAGATTCTGCAGATATTGAGGAGATCGCGAGGGTAGATCGTAGATCGATATGTTTGATCCAATTTGAGGGTGAAAATTTTGATTGTAGATTGAGTGGTCAACAATGTGTATTAGCAGCGTCAAACCATGTTTGTCTGGAAATGTTTAACATTCAGTCAGAATCGATTCGTGATACAATTTATGTAACGGAGTTTTTAACATGCGCGCTCGCAAATCTTGGTAACAAAACCTCAACACCAGGCGTTGCAGTCTCCCGAGCTAGCCCGCGGAGCACTGGCTCAGTGGTTAACTTTTCGTCATGGTCCACCGGTGGACGAAAATGAAAGCGGTTCTGAACTAATTACCCTTAAGCACATGAATCGGCTAGTAATAAAAGTTATGTGACAATTTTAAACATCCGTACTCGTATATCTTACTTTAGAGAGAATGTTCCACATTTATATGGCGTTTTGAACTGAAATAACCATCTTGAGGACGTTTTGATGCAGTTCACGGTCATGTCCTTTTTAAGACCTAAAACGATCTGGTTCCCTGAGTTACACGACCGCAAAAGTACAACAAAGCTGGTCTGGAGCCTATTTCAAAGTTACCTCGGCATTAATGACGTCATAGAAACGTCATGCGATCGCGGTCATAGCTAGAGGCCGTTTTCTGCTAATGGTCAAAACAGCATGGCCGCTGGTACATTCGCAAAAGCGATGATGCGGCACGCATGATACAATGCGCGGAAGATAATTGGCTGTTAGCAAGATTCCGCTGTTGAATGCGTGTGGCGAACGCAAGCGTGAGCACTTTGGGGTTGTGCGGCACTCGTCGCGAACGGATCATTTTTTCTTGTTTCTAGGCCACAGGTCAATGTTGTAAGAAAGAACGCCGCTCTACAAAAAGTACGGCACCCAAAAAACGTGCACTCTCTCGTAAGTTATGAAAAAGGAGACGCGACGGCAAATCTGCCTTTTTCCCCTGCTGGCGTTTTTTCTTCTACTGACGTATCTCTTACAGACAGCTCGGCTGGCGCCTTGCGTACTGGAGCACAGAACCTTGCACGGGTTGATGAGTAAGCAATTTCATCGGCTGTTTCCATAGGCCTGGTGAGAAATGATGAGTTTTGTTACCGGTTATCCTAGTTTTGGAGCATATACAAATTTCATACGAAATTAGGTCTCTGACGATATCTGTGTAAAAGGGGACAAAGTGAGCTGAAATCATATTAAGGGCTGATAGGTCAAAAGGAGTGTCCCACAGCGATAACATTCAGCTGGCACAAAGAAAGTCACATAATGAATCACTCCAGCTGCATCGCTTGTGCTTGAAAACTTAATGTGAATGGTAAAGTGTCCCTGGGTTTAACTATTACGCCATATGGTTTCGTTTTACTGCATGTGGTGGATGGCTATGCAAGAGGCAACATCACTTTTCAGTCAGTGGCGGCCTGTTGGTGTTGCCAGGACGCCCGTCTTTCCTGACTCAGAGACCACTGGGTACATCCGAATGCCTCCTGGGACTCTAGCATCCTCCCCTTTGGAGAAAATCCCCTCCCCAGTTTGGAACGCATGGCCTACAACGCACAGGTCGTGTCACATATTTATCTGTGCTAATTGCCAAAATATCCAGTCAATATTCACTTCCTTTATGTTTCCATATGGTGTAGGAGATTCCTGCTTCAGGAGATATGCTGGCTTCGGTTCTGCGCTTGCGTCACGTGCGCAAATGTAACAAATGCACCGCTTACTTGCTCATCGAAAGCGAGGATATTGCATTCAAAAACACTTAAGCTCAAATCGCATGTAAACTGACGTGATATTAGGGTTATGCGCCTACATTTTTTTTAGCCTGTTACAGTTTAGTTGATGTTTATTTAAACAATGGCAATGCATTTGCAGTTAATATGACGGCTTGGTAACATTAGAAGCTAATGCAACGCTAAGCTAATGCAATGAGTTTCGAATTGAAAATAACCCAGCGCTATTTGAGTGACAACGACTGGAAGCCGTTCCGCTGGAAGCCGACAATCCGCTCCACCTTGTTCGCCATCCCCCCTTCCCCGTTGGCAAGCCGCCTCGGAATGCCGCAACTGCCTGCCGACCGCTTGCCTCCGTCTCTCCCCTTGATGACACCCACCCTCCTGACCACTGCCGGCGTGGAGTGTTACTCAATTATCGCTTCACTCCATGCTGATGCTTTTAACCTCCAGTGGCATGTGGAGCCGCTGCTGTTCTGAAGTGGCACTCGTTCAATTCGTCCCCTCTTCGGGTTCCGCCCACCTGTCTACCACTTTGTTACCCGCCCAGCGGGGCGCCGGACGCGGTAAGCTGGCGCTTACACGCAGAATGTAAACATCGTTGGAGACAAACATAGGTGACGCCATTGCACTGGCCTGGCATGTTGCACTTGCACTGGCACTGGCATTACACTTGACATTCTGCCCTGGCCCGCCAGGATGGTGCCTGGTCACAAACCGGCCGAAACCAATAAGCTAGGTCTTACAAGCATGTGCGTGTGTGCATGTGTGTTAGGTGTGCATGTGTATTGGTGTAGTATCTTTGTCAATTCCTTTCATGCGTCGGTCGATGAAGAAATTACGACACATGGGATGAGTCATCAGTTAAAGCGATGTACATGTAACGAGAAATACATGACTGTATGTAATTTACCACCATTGGGGGAGAATATCGACTGGAACATTGAGACGATCTACACCGTGGTATCATTTTCAGGACGAAAATCGCCGCTGTATGTGCCATGAGGTCTTCTGCCTTCAAGTAGGTTACAAAATGACACCTTTACCATACCCTCTCCTTCTTTGGGGCGGCGGGCATCGGAGGATGCGAAGTAGTTGATTAAGTACGCCTTATTTTTGCACGGCATAGATATTATCAGACGCAAACGCAATGACTTACTTCTTTGAGTCATAACTTACAAAGCTTCAAAATCGTGTGGATTACTAGCAAGACATCAAGACGCACAGGGCGACGACAACGACGATAACGAGAGAGAGAGATCAGCGAAACTGTATTTTGCGATTAAAAAAGTACGTAAGTCCCAGTCCCTGAATACCGCGAGGATGAGAAAAGCTTGCATGCGACGTCTGTGAGGAAGCCAGTCGGGACTTTGGATCTTGGATCGAATGTAGGGAATCTCGCCGCGCATTGAACCCACATCATAAATAACCACCAAACTAAAACACAAGTCTTGCAAATGCACCCAAAGCCGCACGTGCCCCCCCCCCCCCCCCCCCCAGTGCTCACCCTCGCCCCTACCATCCATCGGGCGGCAGCGTCACGAACCAGCCGCTGCAAGAGTTCAACTCGGAGCGCGCCGCGCCAGCCGCCGCCTCACCCGCCGAGCGCACATTCCCCTGAAATCGCAGCGCGGGCCGCACGCACCCGGCGCCGCTGCGGCCGGCAAAACGGCGTGTAACTGCAGCGAGCTGCGCGGCCGGCGGCCTGGCGGTGACTTGCTCAGGGCGTGGGGAGGCTGCCGTGCCGGCTCGACACTTTTGAGGCGTGCAACGGCGCACGGCGCGGACCGTCAGCCGGCGCCGCCAACTGCCCGCGGCGCCGGCGGCAACCAGGCAGAGAGGCGCGGTGACAGAAGAATCGGGACGGGATGACGGGCGAGGGCGGATTCAACACCGAATCCGAGGGAGGGAGTTACACATGTCACGCACTGAAGTAGGTGGCCACCTCAAAAACAGAGAACAGGGAGGTCTTTTTCGCACCACCCAGGCGGTCAAAGCCTGATTGACCACCACTTCCGAGCGGCCGGTGGTAGTAAGGATGTCTGTGAAGTGTGCGCACGACGATGAGCATGGACTCGTGGGCACACACGTACGCACGCGTCTGAGCGCGTGCGCGACTGCGCGGACGTGTTCGTGTGCTGTTGTCGAACGCCATCCGAATCCCTGGAACGATACACGACAGTGGCCACACCCCCGAACTGATTGCTTGTAAGTTATTAATCTTTACATTACGACAGGCGCGTGAAGCGGCACAACTGGTCGCCTGTCGCCATTCTGGCTCACGTCGCCGTGTCTGGGGCGGCACCGGTCTGACCTGTGTACCTTCCATTCGTGCAGTCCTCCCCCCCCCCCATGCACGGCTCCAGACATCCTCAGACGGTAAGGCCTGAGTCGACGGTCACGTACCACCACGTTAGGGTTCTTCCCACCGGCGACGCACGACTGACTCCCGATGGTGCCTGTTCAGGCGCGGCTGTCTCAGCTCTTGACATCACTGCTAATTCCAACAAAAAACGTCATTGTTTTCAGTGTATTGCTGGAGGAAACTGTAAGGCCAGGTTTGCTGTTTCCGCGCGTGGCAGCGGCCATGCAGTGAACGGAGAAGTACGTCATCAAATTCAAACAGGGCGGAAATTTTGCGCACGCCGAAAGCAAACTCCGTAGCAAACTGCGCAAACAGATGAGGGACTGTATCGCAGACAACGAAACCACACGAAGACAGCCTGAAGCCACGCAATTCAGCACACTCCATCCTACAGCGAGATAACGCGTCACGTGCCATCCCGTCATCACCTGCCGCGCACCACCAGGCCCAGCCACGCCGTGCGCGTCCAATCACCGAAGTGAGCAGCTCCCGTCCACGAGCTTCAAATATCTCCGAGACACTCAGGCCCATCTAGAGCACCAAGACACCGGAGGTGCTTCGGACACGACAAACCACCCGGGGCGCCGGCAGCGTGTCCTGAGCGGTGTCCGACTCCCGCGCCCCCAACGACGCATACAGCAGCCGCGGTCGTCGGCAAGATACGAGTTCGCCTCCCGGTCAACAGATGGCAGGACATCGTTGCGTTCTGCCCGCTCACGAGTCCAAGAGTGCAGCCGAGTGGACTGCGCGTTTGTCCGCCGCAGGCCCCAACAGCCAGTGCCAGCTGGGCCCGACGTCACACGGGACAGACACGGTGTGCCACGTGGCACAGCGGTGCGTGGCGCCATATCGCCGGCGTATGAAAAGTCTGCAGTCACCTACTCGGCCTCCTTTTTCGAGTCCTCGAGGTCTTTGTCTCGCTTCTTCTTGCTGTCGCAGAAGCCGATTTTGGTCTTGCCGAACGAGTTGGGCCCAGCAGACGTCGGCGTCTCTCTGTCAACAGGGACTCATGATGATGATGATGCTGACAAGGATGACGATTTGGGCTTGAGGGCGCGCCGACGGCCGGGGCCATTTCACACCCAAGACATGGGCTCCGTTCGCTGAGCTTTCGTGCAGGCACACCTTGCACTCGGTGTCGGCCACAGGACAACATGCATTTACAGGACCGTGGACGACATAGGAGGCTCCTCACGGTGTGTTTAACCAGTTCCAGAGCAATTGGACACGTGGGTGGCTTTCGGTCTTGATCCGGAACTCAACCGCGCCCGAGTCGGATTCCACACGACGGCAAAAGAGGTTTCAACATCCATCGCTATGAGGGGCGCCCAGCTACCCGAAGACCCAGCCCTTAGCGTAATACATGGTGATGTACCGCACCACGATACATCCAATGCATCACTGTCGGGGACCGGTTTACCAGACACCATCAAGTCCCAGCAACCCATCCTGCCAGACCATTCCGACTCACCGCTCGAGGCGACCCGCCAGCGTGCAACAACGCACGGACCAGGGTGGAAAAACGTCATGCCATAAGAGCCTCTGCTTATGCGCATGATGCCATTTCGGTAGGGAACATTACGTCCTCCCAGCAATACCTCCACCTGCGCGCCTTACAGCAAACGACTGCGAAGCCCCCCCCCGCGAGCCCTGTGACCCAGGTGACCGCTGTGACCCCTGTGATCTACCTGCCGATATTCTTCATCCGCATGCGGGCCTCAGGCGGCATCTCCTCTTCCTCTTCGTCGTCGTCGTCGCCGAACGCGGCCGCCGCGAGCGACGACTTGGGCTTCAGGGCGACGGGCGGAGCCAGGCCGGCGGCCGGAGTCTTCTGCGGCGACCGGGCCGGCCACGGGCGTCAAGGTCACGCCGGCCAAGGGTCAGGACGAGGGCCAGGGTCACGGCTAAAGTCGGGGTCAGGGTCAGTCTCGGTCGGCGATTCTTCGGTCCCATGGTCAGCTCTTTGTTCAACGTCGTGACCACAGAGCAGGACGGAGTCAGGGTCACCAGGGTTCAAATGAGGGTCGCAGTCGGCGTCACTGTTACGGTCACAACGTCTTGGTCCTGGCCAGACAACAGGAGTGTAGGGATCGCTGTCGCAGTCTCAGTCAGGGGACTCGGTCGCAGTCGTCGCCGGATGACAGGACTATGTCAGGTACGTGCCGGGTCCGAACCACCGGTACCAACGGGCCTGGGTTACCGTTGGCGTCCCCATCACGGCCACGGGAAGTAGCCAGCATTAGCGTCACATGCCCGGTTCACGACCACTGCCACAGCCACGTTCACGGTAGGGTTCACGGTGATGGTTATGCGCGTCAGGTACGGGGCCGGGGGGTGGGGGGGGGGGGGGGGGGGGGGCAGCGGGCGACCAGGGCAGCTGGCCATCATCACCAGCATCAAGGAACGATGCGTCATGGTGCTTAAGAACAATCAGGCCACATTGCCACAGCTATAAAGAGCCACGGTCGCCAAGCACGGACACGACTACTACACATTCCCACGCGCATTCGAGTTCGACTCAGGGGGAAAGCGTATAGTGTCAAGACAAGTATCTGCGTGCCTGCCAGCAGAACGTCAAACAATTACGCGGCCACCTCCCCTCCGGGCGCATCACGGTAACATTTCAACCGCGCGGGCACGCGGACGACTGTAAGCCTTCTCCGAGTGCGACTGCACTCGCATCGGTCAGCTGGTCGGCACCACGTCAGGAGACCAGATGAGCTGAACACGAACAGGTGCCATTTGCATCGGTATACGCCAATGAAACGGCGCGCTGCAGGTAGATAATTTAAGGCTTGAAGGCAAACATTTCAGCCCATTTATTCGACTCGAATACTGAGTAAATTTGAGTGCAATATGCTCTAGGACAATCTGCATTGTTATATAACGTTAACCGGTTGCAACTGCCAAACTACACCTATGTCGACAAAAATTAATGTTCCTGCTTGCGGAATTCCCACAACTCGAATTATCTGGTTTTAGGCAGCTGAGATGCGAGGCAAACTTTTATTTCAATATACTTGAGGGAACGTTTCACGCTGAAAGATATTGAAGCAAGTACCAGAGATGATGAAGAAGCTCACTTAAAACTAGTGGTATACTTTTTAAGTGGAAAAAACTGCTCTAGCCAGCACAATTTTCTCCTCAGTAAATATGCTGCTCAACGTGCCATGGCTTGATTACGTCATCGTACCTTGCACAACAATGATTGAGAGCCAGTTGACCGCCGTCATATCTGGAAATCGCGCTCACGAACGCCAGACATGAACGCCTTCACAACTATATTTTTTGGCCTAGATCGCCGCATGGCTTACAGTATGGCAAGATCTGAATGACGTTACTATGACATCACGAATGCCAAAGTGAGTTTGAAATACTCTCCACGATATACCTTTCCCTATTTTTGCGGGCGTGTCGCTCAGAAACTAGACGGATTTAGGTCGTAAGAAGGGCAGGGCCATGAGCCGCACCAAAAGGTCTTCGCGATAGCTCTTTCCGTTCAAAACCCCATATTAATGTGGAGCACTCTTTAGATATGTCCATAAATCACTGGTATACAATTGGCACTGCACCAAACTGCACGCTGTTCAAGCAAAAACTTAAATCCTCGCTCCCCCCCCCCCCCCCCGAATATCGACAGAAATACTAGAGATCACTCAAAAGAATACGGCCGCGATAAAACGACCAGAACCGCCCCGAAACCAAACCAAGCGAGCCAACCCCAAACCAGGCAAACTAGCCCCAAACCTAGCAACCCAGCCCCAAACCGGGCAAACCATCCCACACACCGAGCAGACCTCACCCTCCCTTGCCCCGGCCGGCGCGCGGCCGGGTCACCTCGGCCGGCAGTACGTACGCTCGCAGACAGCTTCATGGAGATGGCGCGCACTGGCTGCCTGGGTGCCACCGGCGGGGCCGCCTTGACGGGGGGCGGGCCGCCGGGCACGGCCGAGCCCAGGCGGCGCGCCTTGGCCGCCGGTGCCGCCTCCTCGTCGGCGGCGGAGCGCCGCGCCGCCGCGCCGCTCCCGTCGCCGCCGCCGGCGCCTGGGTGGCAAACACTGGCGGCGCTGAGGTCGCCGTTCCGACGTCGCCGGCCGTTGCAGATGCTCACGCGCCCACCCGTCTTGAGCGATACAGGCGGCTCCCGAGAAAACGCGTCTTGGAAGATACAGTCGGCTCCCACGAACACCGTCTTCGCGGATACAGTCACGTTCGCGGGTGACGACGGCGTGATGGTGCCATTGCGGGCTAGGTGATCTCAAAAGGGGGGCTTGCTGGTACATTAGGGGGGTGAACTGCGAGGAATGTGGCCAAGTGAAGGCGGTGTGGAAGAAAATGGCCGATTGCCGTACCTGTGCTTTTTCTTGAATGACTGGGACATCATCACCTGGGGTCACTGGTCCTGAAAAGTTTCCATGCTGAATGTGAGTGAATGCCACAATAATAAACAGGAGTAGTACATATTGATACAGTGAAGAAGTATGTGGTCATATGAACATACAAACTGATATTCTTATAAAGTGGGCAACACTGCAGATATAAATACATTTGTGAGCAGGACGTACCAGTGTTTAGGTGGTTAAGCTGCAAATCTGGGATACCCAAGGTAACTGGTCCCACCTTCCATGGCAATGCCCAGGCTTTCCAGTCAGGGTGAGAGGCATGTGACACCATGGAGCCTCAAAACCTGAGTGAGTTATACAGCCAGAATGGTAGACATGTACAAACACACTTGAAAACAAAATATTCCACAAACATAAATTTCTCACAGGCATGGCAATAGCTAAAACAAACCTTACTAGAACAGCATAAAGTTGTGAATTGAAATAGTGTCACCTGGCCTAGAAGTTCTTCTTTCTAGTGCCAATATCTCTGCAGCCTCCAACTTTAGTTCAGTGAAACTTTCAACACCACACTTCAAAATGTTCTAGAAGTTTATTCACTTAATAAGGTTTTATGCATGGTATGACTTGTTTCATCCAGCACAATTTTGTGATGCTAGCGAATTGTAACGTGAAAAAATATAGCCCCACATGTGATAGCCATGGGTTATACACCATCATTGCTGCATCATGTTATGAAATGATCAAAACAGGGTGAAGAACTTCACAGCAGATCTCTGCATCACAGTACAAAATAGGTCCCACTTGGTTGAAGAATGACTTGAGAGAGCATCACACACACCAGCAAAATTGTTCAGAATCTTTCTTTCCTGCAGATAATGAATGTGGCAGGTCACACTAGTATCCCCCTGCATATTCAATGATTTTTTCTTGGCAGACTGGCTTACCCCCATCTCATAGAGATGCAATGAAAGCAAATACAACACAGGTGTCAAAATTTGCTCCATCCAACCAAAATTAGAACCATATTTTTGTATCCACATGGGCCTTAATGCAGACAGCAGTCATTTACAAGTACTCTCAGTTACAGTCATGTTTATGATGCACTATCACTTGAGATAAAGTGGAAATAACAATATTTCCATTGCCTGACACTTATTGCGACAGTATTGTACCGGAGCAAGTATTACAGCGTTAAAACTGGTACGCCTACATAATGTATACCTGTAAGTACCAAAAATTGCACCAAATTCGAAAACTGATGCTCCGCCACAAGCGCCACAACACGCCCGCGATGCAGTCCCGCCCCCCGCGTCAACAGCGCGCGTCGTCAAAGCCGTTGCGTCCAAGGCTTTATAATCTGAGGTGGACCACTCCGCTCTCTACGTGGTCCTGACGTCATGATAAAGAATTTAAATTGGTATCTCATAGCTCCCTAATCAAGAGTACAGTGGCGCATCCTACACTTTTTTTGAAAAGTGCGAGGTGCAGTAAATGAAAAAAGTTGTCTTCCACCTTCAAATGAATGCGTGCAAGGTTGAAAACTTATTAGTTTAGCATAGATATGGACGCCTCTTCCTCTTCCTTCTCTTCCTCCTCCCACTCAGCATCGTCGTCGTCGTCCTCCTCCTCCTCATCCTCCCCCTTCTCCTCATTCTCCTCCTCCTTTTTCTCCTCCTCCTCTTCCTCTTCTCATCCCGTTCATTGTCCTCTATCTCCCCCTCCTTCTCCTCTTCCTTTCTCTCATCACCATCATCATATATTCCTTCGGTCTGGTCTGTGCCACAATAGTACATGAATGAGAGAACAGCGTGTTGCAGCACTCACAGATTAAAAGTGGTGAACAAGTTGAGCAAGTTTTAATCGGTAATCACGTTTTGTGCTGCATAATATAAGAACCTGGACATGATTGCCAGTTATTACGGTGTAAGGACTTGCCATTGAATGCCTTCCGCCAGACCAGCACGTCCAACTGAGACCCATGTGGGTCTGATACTGAAAGCCTTATGGGGCCCATCGGGGCTGCCCACTTCGGTCCCATATGGCATGTCATGGTCATGGGCAACCATCTGAGTCCCACGCGAGCAGCCCACCTGGGGCCCACGTGGGGCGTAACTGTGACCCACATGGGACCCACCTGGGCTGCTCAGTTGGGACCCACGTGGGCATGTTTAGCCGGGGCCCACATGTGTATGTCCAGCAGGGACCTATATAATCAGCCAACATGGGACCCGCATAACTGGCCCATATGGGACCTTTTTAACCATCCCAGACGTGCCACAGTTCGGTCTCTCCGATTCGCCCTTTTAAATTCAATCTGATTGATGGACCGCCGCAATTCCAGGCGGTCTGTTTCATATCATTACCAACAATCCGGGCCAAGGGTTATTCCCACGAATTTGTTCGACTTTGCCTCGGCAACAGCACATTTACACGAAACGTGCACTTTTCTGTCGTCATGCCCAATGCGACCATCACTAAACCGTTCAACGAGTGCTACGCGTTGCCGTTGCTGCCTGTTGTTAACGCGGTGTTTCCTGTCGACGTCGCAGTCTCCCCTACCGGAACCAGTTTCCTGGTACCTATCCCGTTTTCTTACGGAAAACACCGTGGCGCGGTGCGTTGCGCAGGATGGCCCTGAAAATGGCGATATTCCGTACCTCAGATCACTGCTCCACGTACCGAGTTTGGATGATAATTGATGAACAGTGTCTGATACTGAAAGAACTGATTTTATGTTAAGCAGGATGATGGACCATGGATCATGAAGGAGCATGAGAGCAGCTATGTCGAATAACGATGCAGAATTGCAAATTTAGCAAAAACACCAGCGGCCGCTGGGGGCGGAATGAGTCGATGTCACGCCCCATTTGAGAGACCTGCGGAAAAAATATTCGTGATTTTGGCCGAGCTCGTGGCAGCGATTCGTCTCGCCGGAATGTGGTGGAGATGAACTGTGGACTATGCAATCTTTGCATGTACATGTACTCTCTCGGAGTACTTGTATGGAAAACTTACATCATGTTACTTACATGGAGTGGAGGCATGAAAGCCGACTTGCTTTGTCTTCCCGTGGTCACAACGGCAATGACAGCACCCTATCAATGGCGCCATTTATGAGGGTAATCAAGCGAAACGTCCATAGTTTATGGAAAAAAGCAGTGTTGCATTTCATTTTGGCAGGACGATGCCAACAAGCTTATCATTGTCATTATTAAAAAGGTTGGAGCGCAGCAGCTGCGAGCTGTCTATACGGAAATACGATATTGTCTCGACAGATCTTTTTTTGGAGCGACTGCTTTCTGATCCAATCCCTTATAGAGGGAGTTTGGGTCGCTTAAGACACTGGCTATTTGTCCCTGCGCTGGGTGGCCTGCGGCCGGATGGCACCAAAGCATTCGTCGGTATTGAACAAGTGCACTTGTTAAAAATGTCTGAAATTGGGAACAAGGCAGCAAACTCCGGCAAACACTGCCAGTCCCAGTTTCAACAAGAATGCAGTCATTTCTTCCTCGTGTCATGATTTCAAAATTTGGCTTGCAAATGTCTGTCCGTGAAAGTGTTCAGGAGAAATGAAACATATAAAATGGGCCTGACTTCGCCACGCTAATTTCGCCACACTTTCTGTGCAATTACCAATAATCATGGCAAGGAATTTCTTGCCGTAGATTTTGCCAGAATTATGCGTGAAATACGAGCTGAACAGTACGAGCCCCTGTGGTCCTACCTTCCGGAGCATGAAGATTCCGGAGCAACACCAGTTGCCCTTGACGGAAGCCTTTTATTGCTGTGCTAGCTTGCTGGTAGATATGAAGTTTTCGGGCGGCCAGGAGCAGTCCTCAAGCAGTCCTCCAGAGTAAAGCGACCGCAGTTCTCTGTAGTAGTTCAGCAGTTCAACGGCGGGGCCTTTTTCCGGCTAACCAAGAGCTGGAGTTGTCGCCCATCCCCTTCCCCTCCTCCATCGCAGTCCGCGACAGCGAACCTCATCCTGCCGAGAAAAAAAAAACACGCCAAAAGGACGTAAACTGAAAAACGGCAATAGCACATCGCTGGCATGTTTGAAGCAAGCACATCAGAAAAAACAGGCAATGAGATGTCGCAAATGTACTGTCGCAAATTTAACAAAAGCCATGTAGGTCCAAGGCCTCATCTAAGACCTGTTCAATGAGGAGGGGGGGGGGGGATTTCTTACCACACATGAAAAGCTCTACGCAATTACGCAATGACGAGAACCGACTTCACTTCACTGAGGTTCATTTAACTAGGGACAGGGTTTCCACGCCACTGGGTGGGCATGGCACCGCCCTGCGAGTGCACTGGTCGTATCCAACACACCAAATCAATTGAACGGAACCCTGCCACACGGAAGTACAAAACACGAAACGGAAATGATGTCGCACAACGCACACTCACCGATGCACCCAGCACGCGAACGTAACACTTCCATGAGACGCCCTTCCCGCGCGCCAACCTGTCTGTGGAATGCAGGCACCCTTCCCCAGCTGCGCATCGGAACGGGGCCAATGCCCCCCCCCCCCCCTCGCCGGCCGCTAGCCGCCAGCCGCCAGCCACCAGCATAGCAACCAGGACGCCGGGGCGGGGAGGGTGTGTGACCAAGCATGGGCGAGGGGACGATCGCGTTATTTGGGGAGAGTTTTGGGGGATCGAGTCCACCTCCCAACAACGGAGTACCAACACTATGCTTGCGGCGGTACATGAAAAGAAAGACTTTGAATGCATCTGACCCCCCCCCCCCCCCTCAATGCTTGACGACTTCCCTCGCTCCGAGGACCAAGAGGAATACGGGGTGGCATAGCACCAGTAGAAGCGACAGCCAATCTCCTGCGGCGTCAGGCACAGCGGGGTGCAGTGAATGGGGGGGGGGGGGGGGGTCTGAGCAAATGGACTGCCGACGCGCCGGTGTGGTGCCAGCGAGCGACTCCGTCTGCCGCTCCCGTGGGTCGGTGCAAGGATGGTTAAAGCCTTGTTGTGACGGAATCCACAAGCTCATTGACATGTATGCATAGAGCATTGCCTCTCAGCTGCAGGTTGATATCACAGCAGAATTGCAGTAGTTTCGTATTAGCCATAACAGTATGAACTAACAGGCACTGATTGCCAGTCGTGTAGGGGAGAGGCGGGAGAATTGGGACACTTTTGCAACTTCAACTTTGATGAGTTATTGCGGCAAAAGTATGAAAGCTAGGTAACATTGCACCATACAAATAAATAAATTGGATATTTAATTACATCAAACTAATAAGTAAGTTTCACTTTGTGGTAGGAAGCGACATGCGTGGAGCAAAAACAAAGACCTTCATTTACAGGAGAATCGGGAGGCACGCAGGAGAATCGGGACAGACGTGAATATGAATTGGGACATCCTAAGGAGCATTGGGACAACATTTATACTTGGCTACATGTTCTATAATTAAATTGCAGATGGTAAAATGAGTGCACTGCATTGCCATCTACTTACGTTCAGGAACTTGTCAATGGTCGTGGCAACGTTTCCTTCCGCTGAATATGGTAGCATATCAGATCAAGTTATCTCGTGTGAAAACTGAGACACAACATTTTAGAACGTGAATTCAGGATATATTTTCCACCTCCAAATAACCATTCTGTTTTTGGCAGAAGGACCCAACAACGGGAAGGTATTTCTGGCGTAAGATCCGGGTAGTAGTAATGCCGACAGTCTACACAACAACCGGACGACACCGCCACACAACCTACAATCGTATTAATCACGTTAAATCATCACAGCCAATGCGCTACATGCAGCCCAGCGGATCACATGATTTTCAACCTTGGCAGTCTAGGCACATACTAGGCAACAACAATGGTCGAAAATTTCCTACACATCGCATAATCACGTATCAGCACAGCCAATGTTACACTTGTAGTACAGCGGATCGTAGGACTCACAGTCTCGGCAGTCTAAGCACAAAACAGGCGAAGCAACTGTCACAGAACTTCCTGAACATCGTGCTACTCACGTTGAATCTGCACAGGCAATGCGTTGATGGCAACACAGTGGATCACCTGACTAACAATGTCGGTACCTATCCTAGGCACCCATTTAACAGCGTACACGGTCATTAAACTTCCTACACATTGGTATAATCACGTTAAATCAGCACAGGCAATGCGATACCCGCGACACAGCGGATCATGTCGGATCATAGCGGATGGGCGGATCATCAGGCTCGGCAGACGTCACATGCAAACTGTGCCTGCCAGGTTGTTGCGTCGGTACACGGCAAGCACGCCCACTTCTTGCATGTTGTACGCTGGATCCACGATTCACAGGCTGAGCCTATACTGCATCCCACAGTACAGGCACGACGCTTTATCGTCAGCCTTTGGCAAGTCCTTTGCACCCCCCAGCTTTCTCTTCTCACCTTTCGTGTTAGCGGTGTTGCTCTTAGGCATCGAACAGTCGCTTTGACACACGCTCGTGTCTGGCTTGCGACTTTCGAGTCTTCTTCTCTTCTTCCTCTTTTTTTCTTTGCAGCTCTGGTGTACTCGTAGCCGTCATGGCTTTTCCTTTTTCCGCTCTCGACGACTCGGCTTCACTTTGGGTCCTGCCTTAAAAGATGGAGGACCAGGAAATGTAAGCGTACGGTTATGGAGCTTAGGCATAGGCAATGGACGACATGGCTCACAGGAGGATCCTTTTGGGATACAAAATTATCCCTTAAAAAATAAATTTTGACGGAATTACAGCATAATTAACAAACATAGGAAAGGTGGAAATAAAAGGAAATTTATAATCACGAAAATATAAGACAGTTTAATAATGAACAAGTTTTCTTAAGGTCGCTTGGACGATCTGAGGTCTGTTTAATGTCACTTTGTCATCGCTGCTTTATCCATTTAAGGAAGAGATTGGGATGAAAAGAATTCACTTTCGGATATCCCCGAAACTCCTGCGGTGAGACAACCCGGACTGCGGGAGATGCTGGGCTGAGTGGGCCACCTCCTTGGACCTCAGCTGGAGCCCGTGACAGCCCAGGAACTGCACCCGGTTTGTTGCTTGCGAATGGTGGCCTTTTCAGCTGCAGGTCAACCGGATCAGTCGGCCTCCTTGACAGGGATGGAGGCTCGGGACTCTCGACGCGGTCCTCTTCGTGTGTATCCGCTTCGTGTGTGTCGTCTTCGTGTGTGCCCTCTTCATATGCGTTTGCATCGTGCGTGTCCGCTTCCTGTGTGTCCGCTTCGTGTGTGTCGTCTTCAGCCACCCCGGGCGCTCCTACAGTCGCTGAGAGAGCTGGTCTGTCGGTCACGTCTGCGGGAAGGAAGTCATCCTTGGTGAAGACTTCAGTGTCCAGTGGTCAGATTTATGTCGTTCGAAAGCCAGACAGGATGTTGGCTGGGGTGGCCGAACGGATCAGCGCCTGCCCCATGAGCTTCCTCATGTTCAGAAGCTTGATGGACTTTCCCGCGTTTTGGAGCATCCAGCTGTCTGCCTGCTTGTTGAAGCTTGTCTTCATCGGACCGAAGACGGTGACATCAAGCAGTTGGAGCCTGTGACTCGTGTGAGGAGGTAGAATCACGATATGGACTCCACCGTCCTTCGCCAACGTCAACACGTTCAGGCTGACATGGTTGACGTGATTGTCGAGCACCAAGACGACTGGATTGTCCTTGCTTGCCCCCATGTGCTTCACAATGTTCTGGATCACCTTCTCAAAGTTTTCAGGCGTCATCCACCCGCTGCTGTGACACAGCTGCAGCGATCCTCCCGGGATGCCTTCCATCAGATTCTCCCTAAGAGTCTTCCTTGGGAAGACGTAGGCAGGGGGAAGGTACGCCCCAGTGACAGTCACAGCGACACACATCGTGACAAGCTCACCCCCCTCCGCAGAGGTGACCTTCCCGACCTGTTTGTCTCTCTTTCCAGCAATGACTTTGCCAGGCTTCTGTACAGTCGTGAATCCAGTTTCATCTAAAGTTAAAATCCTCGCACCTAAGATTCCCGTCTGTTTCAGGACCTCAGACAGGTTTCCGAAGAATTCCTCGGCATTGTGCCTGTTAAAGACTCCAGCTCGCGCGATGAATATGGCTTCAGGTTTCCGCAGTGCCAGCTGGGTGTTTCTTTTCATGAAACTCCGTTTCTGTTTCTTTTCCACTCGCGCCCCGCTTCTTCATTTTCAGCCTAGGAGGCGGGAAAATGTTTGTCATTTTTAACTGCATTTGGTAGGCAATTCCACGTGTTTGCTTGTGCGTTAAACCATGAAACATCTTCGAGCTCTGTATCACATATTCACTGAGGGCTTGCTCTTCGTCAGCAGTGAATATCTTCGAGTGACTGTAGTTGGGCTCAAGACGAGCTGCAGGATCGACAATGTGCTTTGCGACATACCTTCCAAGCACGCTTTTGCCCACACTGTGGGGTTCTACAGCTTTTCTCAGGCTCGCTCCCCCTTCTACAACATCTTTGACAGCCAGCAGCATTGAATCATGAGGTACGTCAGCGTACCCCTTTTCTTTTCTAACGTATACATGTGGCATGGTTTTGAAAGAAAATAAAGGTGAGTAAGTTTCGATAAAACAGCTACATCAATTTATAGGTATGTAGAGTACTCTGCACGAGTGACATTAATGGTTCCTGCGAGATGATTGGGACATCTGCATGACAATGAGGGCGGGTGTTCCGATTCTCCTGCAGCGCACGCTAGCTACTAGACGAGTTCTCCGCCGTTCGTCAATTGGGTTACATAATTTTAAATGCTAGCCAGAAAATTAACATTATGTTAGTTTACAATGTGAAATAGTTAAAAGAAAAGATGGCTTGACATGAACAGCATACACAACTTGAAATAACACTCGAAAAGTGTAGTTTTTTGGCACTCACCCCGTACAGCGTTCCTGTGCACCGGAGAAGAACAGTTGATAGTTTCCAGCGTTGCTTGATCCCAAAAGGAAAAACATTAAAGTGCAAGTAGTGATTCGGAGCTGCCCTATCTCTAAGATATTCGCGTGTCCCTATTCTCCTTCGTCCCAATTCTCCCGCCTCTCCCCCACTGCTGTTGTAGGCAACACTAACATAGGAAAGCTGTCATCAATTTCCACCAAGGTAAAGATTTTTGGACAAAAGAGAGCTGGAAAAAGGACTTGAGCATAAAGCAACTTCATACACAGCTCCCAGTCAACAAATGTGCGCAATCGCGTCAGGTGGCGTGTGTATGGTAAAAGAACGTGCACTAAAGCTATTACCAAAGATGTCGTAGGCAAATGTTTACATGGTGTAAAGTACGCCTGCAAAATATTTGTTGAAGCAAAAGGTTGAATAGGAGACAGAAAATCTTTGGCAAACACTTCCCATGCATAAAGTAGAATGCTAAAAGTTATCTTAAACAGCCTTAAGGACGTCAATTCTGGCAACACAAACATTGCCTGGCGAAAACACGTAGGTAAAATTTTGTAAGCATCAGTGAAGCAGCATCGAT